GTGACCATTATTGTGTCGCGGAAATTAGCGGACTATGAACTAATTTTATTTACAGTTACGATCAGTTTTCTTACTACGGTGACATTTTTTGCATCGATTGTGCGTTTATCAGAATGGCATCTAAAAGGTTGGTAAAAAGTAAGAACACTTTGTCGCAAGTAGCTTCAGCGACAACAATGAAAGATACATCGATAAGTAACCAGAAGATCAAGATGTGCATTTTTTGCAAGTACCAGCACAGTTCTTCAACTATCTGCAACAGAGATCCTAAATATTCAAGTTATATTGAAGACTTGGTCAATCAAAAGTGGCAAAATAAACAAAAGAATAACCTTAAAAAATGTTATTTCTGTAAAGCATTCGGACATATTGTAAAACACTGTGTTGGGAAACAGATGTTAAAAGACAAGAAAAGATCCTTGTTTGAAAAAACTAATTCAGTTACAATGGATTCAGAAGGTATTCCTACTCTAGATTGTTCACTGTGCTACTGGAGAAAGAATCAAGGAAAAGTTACAGCTCCACATATCATGTTTATAGGAAAAAGCCAATTGAAATGTCCAGGAACTAAAAAAATTAAGAACGAAATCGTGATTGCAGAATTAGAATCCAGCAAGAGTAGTAATACAAGCAAGAAAGTTGAAACGAAAAAGACAGCAGCCACTGAAACAGAGAAAAAGTCAAACTCAGAAACAATGAAAATTAATCAAGCAAAGGATATCACTGTTCCAACAATGACATCAGTCGAGACAAAAGCAACTCAGTGTATGAAAAAGACAGATTGTGAAATAATAGATAGACAAACTGTGGATAAAGAATTTTCATTCTTAGAGGACAATAAATATATAGATTATGATCAATTCCACAGAGCAGTAAGTCAGAAATATTGTGTAAAATCAACTAAATGTTTGATAAACAAGAAACCTGCACAAATACAATTAAATAGAAAATCAAATATCACTTTGGTACGTGAAATTTTTTTAGAAAAATCAGATTATAGCGGAGAAATGGTTTACTGTATAAACAGAGAAGATTTTTTTATGCGATTTTGGACAGCTTATATTTATTTGAAGTCGCCCTATATATCAAGACCATTGAAAGTAGTGGTAACGGACAACATCGGAACAGATGTGATTCTGGGATACAAAGACTTCAACATTAGAGACTGTTCTGATGAAGACATACGAGTCTGGGAACAAAGTCATCTCTATCAACAAAAATAACAGCTGATTCAAGGAGAAGTACCATCAACTGAAATATCACTATTTACGAACATGAAACTATACGGTCCATTATCCTGATCATCAACATCAAGACAACATATCACCATGCATGAAGTTCAAGATTATTATCAGTCAGGAAGCTACATAGAACCACCTTCAACCTAACGATCAAGAGTAAACCTGAACAATCATCCAGAATTGATATTTTACCATTCTTCACCTGTAAGATTGGCATATTTCAACCAAAATCAGAAATCACCAACCAGTACTGTACAGGGAATGAACAGAAACATATCAGCCACTGAATTATTCAAACCTGAAAATCACTATTAAGGAACAAGAAATTATTTTCTCCAGATATCTCAAAATCGACCATTGAAACATTTCAAAATCATCAAATTCTAAGCGACACTTCAAGAGCATCTATACAATATCAAGATCGTCGAATACCAAACGTATCATAAAATAAAGAATGCGAGAATAATGAAGCATTCCTACAGTTTAAGCGAAGACAACAGACAACCAAAATGTCAGTATTTCTAGTGTTCACACAAATATTAATTGTGAAAGTTAAACAAGTTAATTATCTAAAGTGTTTGTCTAAATAAATATTAAATTAATAAAGTATTTTTAAAAAGTGCATAAACACCTGATTTCATTTATAAAAAAGTCACATACTGTGTGTATTGAACACCTTCCGTTTAATTCCATTATTATTTTATAGGTGGCATATCAGTGTATGCAGTCACTGAACACTGATAATAGCATTGCGTTAACTCTTAAAATTAAAGTATATTTTTAGTCAGTATATTTGCAAGATTACCAGCTATCCTACAAAGAGACACCCCAGAGCAGAATAGACTGTTGAGCAAACCAAGGAATGAGAACCTTGAAAGCAAGCGCCAGAGTACAAGCAAGACACACACAGCCTGCAGGGATGGATCATGATCAAGGATAGTTAATGGAATGAATGGGGATGAAAGAGAATAAAACAGGTATGAATGATGAATGAAAGATTTGTGGGTAGTATTTTAATAGTGTACATGCATTTAACTTAGGTTAGTAGTTCATTAGGAATAGTTTAGTATTCATGTAATGACAGAGTTAGTAGTTCATTAGGAATAGTTTAGTATTCATGTAATGACAAGAGTTAGTAGTTCAAAAGTTTAAAAAGAAAAAAGAAAAAAATTCTCTCCCCAGGAACAGCATACAAGAATTAGATCAAGATTTAGCGATAGATCATATAGAAATCTTTTTCCACAGAATGACTTAGATAAAAAATTCAATTTGAAATGTTTTAGCATAGGTGTACAGCACAGGGACATGGTAAATTGGTCCACGACCCCCAAGATTATAAACTGCTATAATTATACTGATGCTGACTAGATGGACTGATGGTAAAGAAAGAGTGCACACATCAAAGCACAAGCAGAGTAGAGGAGTTGAACTCATCTGTGTCCATCTAAAGGGGGAAAGGTGTCTGAGATTCCTTGGGGTTAAATACTCTGTTAAAGGTGTTATAGACTTGGAGGAAACTCTAAGATCTATAAAAAAATATATCTCAACTATCATTGTTTTCATGTTGGATTCCTTGGAGTTGGGTAATTACTCTGTGAAAGGTGAGACTTTGGTCTATGAAAAAATATCTCAACATGCAGTTTTTTTCAGTGGTAGATTCCTTGGGGTTGGGTAATTACCCTGTAAAAAGTGTTATAGGGGCTTTTGGGAAACTAGAAGCACTATGTTAAATATATCTTACCACTATCATATCGGCTAAGAGTCCTTGGGGTTAAACACCCTGTGAAAGGTGATGTAGAAATATTGGTTCAATCCAATTTTCTATGTGGTAAATATCTCAAAGCTGACCATCATCATCATCACTATCATCATTTCACTTTGAACCTGATAGATTAGATATAGTGACTAGACAATACTACAGATGCAATAGGTGTAAAGATGGTTTAAACTCTTCACCAGCTCAGTACAGGGAAAGCATGCAGTAAATATTGAAAGCAGTTTTAAAGGGCAGTAATTGAGGATAATCAGGAACCATAATCCCTAGTGGGAATACAATTAAATTGATTTACTATATTTGGTTAAATGAAAATGACACTTGATGTTCCATAAAGTGTCATTTTGTTAAAAAGGGGGGAGAGTGTGATGACCCTGCTTTGCATGGTCTCCACGAGTACATTGTGGCAAGCAGGAAGTCCGTGCTACTAGTGACGGCACGAGATACTTGTGGCCAGTGGAGAAAGCGAGGCGAAGCCCGAGCTAGCCTCGTGGTCAGTCGATCATCAGAAGTCAGAGAAGACGGTTGTAGTATTTGAAGATGTCGTCTTTATGTTGCGCAAATGTTTAATGTTCGAATATGTCGCGAGTGATACAGTGTGAATAATGTTTGAACATGTGAAATAAATGGACCAGAATAAACTGACAGAATGTACCAAGGAGCTGAGCGGCGTTTGTGTTGTCAACCCTAGACGTTAAAGTAGTGCAAGTTGTGTAGCAGTAACATCCAGAGAGTGAGCCGTGGCTAAAGCCAATAAGTAGTAAGCCAAAGCGCAGTCCAAGTCAAGCCAAGGTTTATTACAATTGCCTTAATCACCTTCTTCTTAAAGTCCCTGCCATGTGGCATTGGTAGTCATGTCTATCCACAACCTTCTGTCTCATGTACTTTTAATCAACTCTAACACAGATGATCTTCCATGCCATGATGTCAAACCGTCCAGCATCTGTTATCTTGGTCTCCCTCTGCCTTTCCTTCCCTCCAACTTTCCTACCGCCACGAAGTACTCCAGTCTTCATCTTCTCATTACATGATCAAAGAATATAGATTGTCTCTTTCTGATGTGGGCAATCAGTTCTCTTCATGAGTCAGTTTCTTTCAAGACGTCTTCATTACTCTTTTTATCTGTTCAGGGTATTCTCATCATTCGTCTATAAAACCACATCTCCACAGCTTCCAAATAAGTTTTCACTAATTTACTGTCCATGATTCATCCATATATAAATATTGGATTTATATCGCTTTTAAGAATTCTCTTTCTTGTCTCAGTTGACAAAGAGAGATTGCATAAAAAGGAATTAGCTGGAATCATCACAGAAGTCCGAGGTGCCTGAAGTCACCTTTATTTTCATGCCGGGAGATGCCAGCATTGGAGGGAATGAAAGAGCTGACAGGTTGACTGGACCTGCTATCACTACCGATGGTCAACTTATGGATCACTGAGATATTATTAGTGCCCTTTAAGAAATGGGAAGGGTGAAGGAGTTTGGGGGCAGTGAATCCACATCATTCACCAGAATGATAGACTTGGGAGTTAAGATCAGCAGAGCAAAAAATGAGACTCATACCAGGCACATCAGAGGACTTGTTAATCAACATGGAACTGGTACTATTAGCCACCGGATGCTGGGGTTGATACTTAGGAGAGGATCTGAGCACCTATCCACATGTCCGGTGTGCAATGATGATAACCCAACTAGCTAACTAACTAACTAACTACTGTTCAATCTGGCTGGGTTTCTTTCTTAGTAAGAAATAAACTTTGATGTACTGATTAGCAACTGTACAAATTTATCTAAAAACAATGTGCCAGTATTAGCTCCAAAGTGTCTCAAAAAGCTGCCGTACTCACCAGAATGTGTCTATTACAATAGCGCTGACACAAATGATACTTATGTATAGTACCAGTACTGTGTACTGTTACATACCACCACAAAAGAAGCTCTAGGTACAACATAATCTGTTAGAAAGTTGTCATACTAATAGCCTTATCTAGACGATGAGCCAGATCGGGGCCTTGTACCGCTTGAGGTGTCAGAGGCAACCTTTTCTGCAGAAGACGGGAGCCTTTTTTTGGTTTGGCCACGCTGAACTTGACGAGCCCTCTGTCCAAAGCCCAGACACTGCAGGGATTCAGTGATATATCTTTGGGCAGGTGACACACACAGGAGGATCAGCAGTTTGGCGTCTCCACCTGAGAATTAAAGAAGAGAAAATGTACTTTTGAAGATATGTGAAATGCTTGGCTGCCACTTTTTCTATGGGTACTGGGTTGGTGTCGGCATCTGTGGCTGAGGTGTGGCATCTGTCACTGAGGCGTTGCGAAAGTGTTTCGTAATACCAGGATGCCGGGTTCGATCTCAGCTGCGGACGATTTGTCTTGCATTGGTTTTGACAGTGAGGCAGAAAGCTGACCATTTACAGACAATGACAACCTACTAAACGTAAAATAGGCCTAGAAAAACCCCAAGAAAAGAGTTGGTTCTGCAACGTAAAGAAAAGGATACACAACTAACTTTAACTGGGTTGGAAAATATAACTGAATAATTTACAAACAAAAAAGGCAGTCTTCTTTAAGAAAGAGGATAACCATAAACTTAGAGAAATTAGGTGTAGACACACAATTTTGTTGTTGTTATAAATGTTGTGAAAAAGAATTGACTTGAGAATTTTTGTTAATTAAAAAAAAAAGGAAATGAGATAAATACCTAGATGGTCTGGCCATACAGATGAAGCCAGACAAGGGCACTGACCTGATCCATGATTCAGTTGATCATGTAAAATGGAAAAAAAACATGGCCGCCTATACGAATCTCCAGGGTACATGATGAAGAAGATGATGCTGACTGAGTGTCAGTATGTTGATAATGAAACACAAAATATGCGGGTCACTCAATCACACCACCACCATCATTATAGTCCCATACCACAGTGTGTCACAGGGTCTCTAGTTTCTGTTGACTGTCTTACCAGTTCTCTCCACTGCTGTCGATCAGATGCAGTGGGCTTGATATTAGCATATTTGGGGTCTGTCCACTCAGCCAAACTGTGCTTACAGATCTTTCTTAGTGTTTCTCTTCTCCTCTTTTCCTCTACAGAACCCTGTAGTACTGTTTTGGAGAGGCCAGAAATTGTGTTCCAGTAGATCTTGTTAAATGTCCACACCATTTACTTCTCTGTTGACAATGAAATACCCAAAACTGTGGAGGAAACACAGCTAAGTCTAATCATATCCAGTCTCTTTATGCTGTGCTAAATTCTGACTTGATTACATCCAAATACCACTCAACCAGACGTCTTGAAAAAAAAGACTGCAATGGATCTCTCAAGCTTACGGCCTATTGCCTTGGTTATACACGCTCTCAGACAGCTTTTTATCCGCTTGTATCACTGTCTATCTTTTGCACTTGTGTTTTTAACTATTCCTTAATAGTATGAATTTTTTTTTTTTTTTTTTTTTAAATAAACAAATGCTTGAGAAAATGTAAGAGCATTAAATGGGATGAATTTTAAAAAGTGAAGAAATCTGGACAACCGATGGTATCAACATTTATAAGACAAAGAAGATGACAGGCACTACACTGGGAGAATTGTAAAAATAAGCAGAGAACTACCAAACAGACAATGAAATGGGAAACAAATGAACTGAGGAAACAAGAATGTCCAAGAGAAACTCTCAAAGGAACGATGAGGAGATAAGTCAAAATTGCTGGACTGGATTCTATATATGACACTGACAGGATTTCACAAGGTTAAAATGGGATGATGGATCAGACTATGAGCCCTATGTGACAAATAATAAATAACAGGGGCAGGGTACTCTTACCTATTGAATCTTGCAAGAAGTGAGTCAGTCGGCTGTTACGATACGGCACGTGTGTTCGATGTTCAGCTAGTGCTCCAAGAACATCAGCCAGTGCAGAGAGACTTTTGTTGATATATGATGCTTCCCGAAGAGCTGCACCTCTAACACCAGACATTCCTGGTAATAGACAACAATATATGTATTAACTCTCTGTATTATGTAACTCACCATGTGTTTATGGATTTCCACATACATTAACTATTAAATGTCACTTAGTTTACCTGGGTAATCAGGTAATCACAGTTCCAGTGTCACAGCAAACCGGTTATTCTCCTAGATGTTCCAAAATAACTGACATAGATAGCAGTTCCAGCAAAGCCGATAGCATTCACACATGTTAAATGTATAAGGCAGCTGTCAGAAGTGCCAATATAAACAATCTGGCACTAGAAATGCAGTTAATCATCAACAGAAACAATAGTTTTTAAAAAAAAAATCTATAGTTGCACAAGCAATAAGGCACTAGTTCTGTAGCAACAGGCCACACACCATTTTCTTAATATAAAGTTTTCAGCAAAAACCATGTTGAGCACAGTCGATTGCAAATGAAATCCACGGCTCACAATGTCGTGTGATGCACTCAGCTCAGGAGCTGGGCAATGGAACCCTACTTTCTAGAGAACTAGAAACAAATCCTGCCTGTCCGCCTATTGGACCAGATTTGTGGCAACAAGTCACTCACCATTTTGTCAACTAGAAGTTCACAACACAAACCACATTGGGCACAATCAAAAAGTATTCTAAAATAAATCTGTGGCTTGCGATGTTGCCTGATAATTTACCTGACGTATTAATGGCATGAAAAGGGTTTCTTTGCTCAATTATTTTCACAAATCATCTAGGTACTTATCTCTTTGTGTTTTCCTTCCTCTTTTCTATTTTTGTTACTTATTCTTCTTCCTCTACATTAGCCCTGAAAAGTGTGATAGGCATGTTGTTCTGTGCTGATTTATGCAAACACCTAATTAGTAACCTTTTACAACAAGCTTGGTAAGGACAGTGGGTCTGTCTCTTGCCCCCCCCCCCCCCCCCCAATCCCTTTCCACCCACCAGAATGGGGTCGCATGGGGAAGAAGCCAGTTGCTTTCAAGTTTATGAGTTCATTTCTCCTCATCACATCATGACTGTCTAATTTCTTTAATCAGTTTACAGTTTTTTTGTATTCCCTCTTTTAATTTTTTTTTCTTGTTTTAATTGCTGTTTTTTGTATATAATTATTTTCACTTCTTCTTGAACAAATGAAATAGAAGACACTAACACACCTGCTAGCAACTGTTGACCTACCTACACATTCACTTCCTGCCAGGTCAACCAACTGCAGCTTAGTTTTGACCAGTGGCTGCTGGTTTGGCCATGGAGCACCTGTGGCTGCCAGTGGCTTGCCAGGACCCTGGTCTGTTGTCCAAATCTGAGGCTGGGGGTTTCCTTTCTTGGTACTCATGCCAGTGCCTGACAGGCCAACTGTTCAACATTCAATTATAAATTACAAACTGGTCAGTTTAACCTATCCTGGTCATATAAGAACTGAATAGGTTACGTATGAAACAGCAACTAGAAAGAGAGAAAAACTGCCAAAGCTGTAGTCCAGTACATATTCAGGTCTTATAAACATTCATAATCATCAAGTTTTCTTCTTCTCGCTGCTGATGCTGTTGCCTGCTGCCTGTTCCATCACTACGATCTTTTCTGCCTCTTTGGTTGCCACTGATGCTTTTTATTGCTATCACCCCTGTCTCCTCCTCCTTCTTCTCTACAAGATAAAAATGGTATATTGGTGACATTCTGAAATGAAACACAGAGAATAACAAAACAATCACTGAAATCTGGTATTGAAAGGCTTGCACATGAAAGAAGGGAAATGAGAAATTAACTGCTAGCCCTGTGTGACATGAACAGCATAACAGGATGATGATGATGATGATTTATAAATTTAACATACACAATAATAATCTGCTTAAAATACAGAATTGTAAAAACTATCTCACCTTCACATAAGTTGGATTCCAAGGAAACTGACTTGCCAAAAAAACTTGGAGCTGCAGAAGTAACAGTTAAAGTTACTATCAGATGTGAGCGGCTGGAATGTTCGTGTATTAGGGTGGCTGATTCTCGGCGAGTCTTCAGGCCAAACTGAACCAGATTCATGACGCCATCTATGCAATCAACCTGTCTGAATTTAAAAACAAAAACATAATTTTGCTCATGATTTAATCATTTTTATTTATAGTTATTAATGTATGCCTAAAGTAGTTGCATAGCAGCTAGTACTTTTAGGTGAAAATTGTCAGGTTTTGCATATTTTTTTACTGAGAATTGTCCCCATAAGGGTTCTAGGGCCCCTGAGTGTGGAGGCACCCACTAGCTCCCACCCCCCCCCCCCCCCCCCCCCCCCCCACAAACAAGCATGTCATAATTAAGTTAGTTGTGTATCCTTAACAGAACATTGCAGAACCATTCCCTGAATGTCATAAAAAGTGACTAAGTTACGGTTTGCTGAAAAAGCAATTGTTGGGCTGAAAGACACAGATATCACAGTCTACAGTAAGACTGGGGCTGACCAGCACAAAGATGGATTTGAGTAACACCTTGGATAGGAAAGTTCATGAGGCGGGACAGCAGGTAAGAGACAAGAATTTCTTTAAGGCAAATCATGATGAGAGTGACATTATGCAAGGGGCCTGCTACATGATGATCAGGATTTTTATATCTGCTCACAGCAAGAAACCACCATCCCTCACCAAGGACTGAACCCGGGTCTGCCACATGAAAGCACAGCAAGCACTCTAACCACTCTGGGGGAAAAAAAAAAGGAAAAAAGAGGAAGAGGAGATGAAAGGAAAGAAGAAGGAGGAGAAGGAAAAGGAGCAGGAGGACAATGAGGGGGATGAAGAAGAAGAAGCAAAAAGAGAATGAGGAAGAGGAGCAAGAGGAAGAAAGACAAGAAGAACAACGAAGCAATAAACAAACCAGAAGAAAAAAAAATGTTTCAATGGCCAGCATACTTGGATGTTACAGTCGGAATACTGAGCTGCCCGTCACTCCCAGTGATAATGTCATGCTTGGCATTCGTATCTCTGCTTAGCAGATCTCGAATGTCGTTATTGTAAACTTCTACCACAGAGACTTCCACACTATGGGTGCCCAGTGGTTTCTCTTCAATCAGCCTGAACAAGATGCAAAATAAAAATGTGAAATTACAAAAGGAAACAAAACATTTAAGATTATATAAAAATAAATATACAGATAGAGAAATGTATAGATCCTTTTCAAACTATCATGGTAACACTTAATTGAAACAACTGACTATGCATGTTGTGTATTTAAGTTTAATGATTCATTATTGTTCTTTCTTTCATGTCAACCTAAGTCTGTATATGCACCTGATGAGAGACAACAATATGTCATGCAATCATCATCATCATTGTCCCATAATACAGCATGCAGTTGCGTCACCATCACCAGCTGCTTTTGTCTGATCAGCTCTCTACACCTCTGTCAGATGCAATGGATGATGTTTGCATGTTTGAGGTCTGTCCATTCAGCCTGATTCTGTATCCAGATCAGCCTCTTCTCTTCTTCTCTATAGAGCCCTGTAGTAAAATGTTCATCGTTCATTTGACTGGTTGACTCTGGAGTAAACACCCCCCAATTAGTCGACTTTCATGACCTGCTTGTTATCACCCAAAAAAAAAAAACCAGACACACACATGGGGCTTTGGGACCTACAAGGGGAGCAGCTGCTTTAATAACATATACTATCCCAACTGACGCTTTGGCCCCTTTTGTTTCTTAATGTTTTTATTCATTCCCCCCGGGTCTGAACAATTTTTACTGTAGAAATTATTTTATTTTAAAGCAAAAGATGTTTCTTCACTCTCTACAGTAGTAACTTTTTAGCATGGTATGGAATAGGGAGATCTTGAATCTGAGGATTTAGGGCTGCAGAATTCCTACAGTTGCAAATAGACTGGGTGGGTTAGGATGTTTATTTCTGCTCCTGACAGAAAAAACTCCATTCACTTTTCAGAGAACTCAAACCCAGGTCACCTGCACGAGATCACAATATTTTAGCCACTTGATCAGTGGCTTCTCACACTTAGAAATAAATGAATTAAATCAGCAACTGTCTGGAACTGAAAGATTAAGAGAGAGTTTACATATCACCATTTACCAATACTTTTTTTTTTTTAAATAAAAGTTACATGGCAATATTATCAGTTGTGTGCACATGCTTGAAAAAAAAAAAAAAAAAACATTTACTAACCGAAACAGCTCTCTGGTAGCTCGTGGTATGACACCTTCATCAGGGTGGGCATCATGACTCAGGTGATATTCCTCATTGTGGTGACTGCCCAGCATTGTATGGGTCTTCCCACTGCCAGTTTGGCCATAGGCCATGATGCAAATATTGTAACTGATAGGGACCAGAATAAAACAATACACTTTTCAGATTTGTTATAGTCAATCTTGTTTAGAGAGAGAGAGAGAGAGAGAGAGAGAGAGAGAGAGAGAGAGAGAGAGAGAGAAGAAAGTGTATGTTGAGAGAGAGAGAGAGAGAGAGAGAGAGAGAGAGAGAGAGAGAGAGAGAGAGAGAGAGAGAGAGAGAGAGAAGAAGAAGAAGAAAGTGTATGTTGAGAGAGAGAGAAAGAGGTAAATGTGCGTGTATGCATATGTACATGCACATGTGCACATTTGTGTGTGTGTGTGTGTGTGTGTGTGTGTGCGCGCATGCGGGAGAGATAGATATAACTGAATATATGATGCAAGCACAGTTTCTAACAAAATACATTCCTGCAGCTCACACTTTGCATGGCAAATCTTGACCACCCTCTGAGCTTAGAGTGTGTGTGAATGTGCGCTTGTATGTGTGCTTTTCTTTTTTATGTGTAGTTTCTTCCTTCTTAGAATTCACCAGCTGTAAATACCGACAGAAAGTGATGTTGTTTGCCCACTTCTAATCTTTGATCTTAGTTCAGAACTCTAGTCTGGCATGCACTTCCCTTTAACAGATCTGGCTTATTTGTATGTAGACTTGGTTCTTTACTTAGCGGGCAGTGGGTCCAAAATAGGGTCCTGGAGCCCATATAGGGAGTGTGGCTAATTTAATTTTGGCTGCAGACATCGTAGCTTATAATTGCACCAAGAACAACAACAAAAATAACAAAGTATTCAATTCACAATCTGGATGACAAATTTTGCTTCACTCTTGTCTCACACAATGAGAAAGAGTATTCACTGAGAGGACCACATTTACTCTTTTGATCCCTGCTGGTCATAGCTGATGTCTGAAGGAGATAATAACAACAACATTAAACTCATGGGTGCTTTACCTGCAAATGACAGTGTTATATTGTGTTATAGAAAGGCATGAAAATCACAGCTAAATTAGGCCAGGGATAAAGTTCCTCCTGGCCACAGCATAAAGTCTGGGTATTTTTGTGTTGCCCATGCAGCATGATTCCTCTCTCGACCCGTCTACTCCAAACCAAAGGTAACACCAACACATTTGAAACAAAGTATGCTGCTGAAGCTGCCTGAATCGTACGAGCAGTGTCCGTCTACCAGTCAGAGCTGCCCACCTAGACTAGCTGCCAAACATGGCTAAGGGCTTGAGCTACAGCATAATGTGCATTACTTACCCATCGTGGGGGTCATGTTAGCGTAGTCGATAAGAGACTCACTTTCAAATCCAGCTGCACCTCGCTGCAGCTCACAGCCGGTGTTTGAAACAGGGCAATTCCCGGTCTGGGGTAAATGAAGGAAGGCCGCTGTAGCTACGGAGTAGTGTGCGGACAGCGACACAGGTGACAGTTTCTTATCAACTGTCTGTATTGGTGGCAGAGAATTATGGTTTATAACTGTGTGCAATGACGCTGGTTCACATCTCCTGACTTTACCTTCACTTACCCATCAAGTAGTGACTGAAGCATTGGGCGGACTTCGTCAAACACAGATTCCTGTTTCTCGGTTGGACCAAACACCCTGTCAACATAAATACCAAAAAAATTTACTTATTTTTAAAGACTTCTGGATACTTTCAATACATTCTAGTCAACGTTTGCCAGTTTGGATCCTCTTTAAGCATGCTCAGTGAGACTGTCACTATCAATGCGTGGTCTGCTTTCTGTTCTACGTACCATGCAAGTGCCCCTGTGACAGCTGCCATCTCTATCATCATGCTAGAATGAGTTTAACTGAATGCCTGACTTTCTATTTCTTCTGTCTTCTCAATCACCTGTACTGTGTATGCCCACACAGACCACTAACAGTAGTTTGTACTATTCAGTCTTTCCAGACGACAGTAATCTGGTAATTTTAATTTCAGCTTCATAGCAAACAGGACACCCCATCTTTGCTCCGCTCCTGTGCCAACAAAAAACACACAGAATGTTTATCACAGTCCCTTGTTGAAAGACTGACAAACTGCTGTCTCAGCAAATCTAGCATACACTCGCATTAAAAGCATATGGTAGCCATCCGAAGTGCTAACACAAACAGTCTGACGTTAGAAATGCAGTTCATCATTGATGGTAGCAGAAGTCACCAAAAGATCAGCAGTTGCACACGCGATCAATTTTAATCAAATAATGGCCCCACCAATATTGCGACAACCGGCATCGCGCCATTTTCTGAATCTACAAATCACACCACCACGTTGGTCAGTCGAAAAACATTCCAAATGAAATCCGCAGCTCACAGTGTAATGCCATGCACTCAACTCAGAAGCTGGGTAACGAAACTATATACTTCCAGTCTACAAATAGAGCAAAAAAGCAGTGGCCACAGTCTGGCAGAAGCAAAAAATATTTGCCTTGGCTCAAAACAGTGGCAGTGCCTAGTGTTCATTTGGACCTGAAGCATTATTTGAGGGTTAATAAACTGTCACCCCAGCAGTACCCTACTATTAGCTGGGGAAGGGATTTAGGACATTACATCCACCAGCAAGTGTCGCCCCAACAACGACCTGACTGCCTTCGTTAACGACTGTTCACCCAACAGCCATCGACAGTGTTTTACTGTGCTATAGGGAAGCACGGGGATCACAGCCTATGAATTTGTACACATCTCTTTCTCAATAGCAGTGGTGGTGTGGTGTGTTAAACCTTTTCTTCTTTTTTATTGGCAACTGTAGGTAATACTTTACCATAATTATTTCTTCTTTTTCCCCTGCTCTTTATAGATCACTGGAGCACAGCCCCTCAGATAGCTCAGCAGCATTTCCTGTAGCTTCCTTCATCCTTCCCCTATCATTCCTCTCCCTTTTTAATGTGTTTTTAGGTCTCCAGTCTCTTTTTCCCTGTGGGTTCCCATTAACTGTATTATAGTTATACAATTATCAGACTTTTTCAATGCCATATGTGTGTCCTATCCAGCATTAACTGTCTTTTCCTCACCTGTCAATTTGCTGGAATTTTTGTTATTCTCTCTTTAAGCTTCTCTGTAACAATTCTGCAATTTTATTCCTTTTGTTTTGCTTGGGCACCAGTTAATGACCTGTCTGCCTTTAAACTTCCCATGACATTTCCTGACACCCATTTTAGACTGGGTCAGCCTAGTGATTCATGTCCAACAAGACATACTCTAATGAAATACCTTAATTTTCTAGAAAGATGCCATTACTCACCACAAACTGTCTAAAAAGGTGCTAGTACTCACCACAAAGTAACTAATATAGTAGGGCTGAAAAAAAAATGATGTCTGTGCTGGTACTGCATACTCTTGTGTAGCTCCATAAGAAAAGTCCTGCTCTAAATTAGGTACTGACCTGACTGTCTTGTGTAGCTCCATAAGAAAAGTCCTGCTCTAAACTAGGTACTGACCTGACTGTCTTGTGTAGCTCCATAAGAAAAGTCCTGCTCTAAACTAGGTAATGACCTGACTGACTGTCTGTGCCACTAATTAGGGCGGTGTAAGACACAAGTGTCTTGAGTCTGAGGATTAGGTGGTCACATGGCTAGTGCAGTCACCCCAAACTGGGCAGATTCCAATTTTATTTTTGCTCTTGGCAGAAAAATGTCCATCACCTTGCCAGGGATTCAAACTGTGGTCTCCCAAAATATTCCTAACCACCAGGCCGGCCACTCTGCAGACTAGGTACTGCTTTGCTAAATGGCAAAAGAGGACATAGAAGAGGCAGTGGCAATATTACAGATAAGTATCAACAACAAATACACTTACCTTTCATATTCAAACACCTTGGTATTCTTGTTTGTTCTGACACAGATATTCTCCTGTGAACAAATTTACATTAATCATTCAGTCAGTCAATCAGATTAAATCTTGACAGAGAAAGATGGCTGCAATGGATCTCCAGCATTCTTCTCTTTCACACTGGATGTCCAGTCTTTTGATTTGATCCTTTCACTTATATCATTGTCTGGCTCTTGTTCACTTGCCATCACATTTTCTTGCCAGTATGGTTTTATAAGAGTGTTATGCATTTTAATATAGCCAAAATATTCCACTTGTTCTTTTTTTAAATATATTTTAGAAAAATTATCCAGCTATACTTTCATTCCTAGTCACATATTATTCAATTTGAAACAGAATATGCAAAGAAATAATAATCAACCTTTTACCAAAGTATTATGACCATCATCATCATCAGGTGCCTTGCCGACTGGCGTGGGCGATCATGCCTCTCCATAATCAGCGATCTCCTGCAGCATGTATCAGTTCGTGTGCCGACACACCTCCATGCCATGCAACAAGACTGTCAAGCATCTTCTCTCGTTGTCTTCCTCTATGCCTCCTTCCACAGATCTTTCCAGTGGTCCCAACATGTTCTATTTTTCCTCTTTTCATAACATGGCCGAAAAATGATGACTGTCTCCTTCTGATGTCTGTGATAAGTTGTCTTCAGGCTCCCGCCTCTTTCAAAACCTCTTGGTTGCTCTTTTTGGCTGTTCAAGGTATTCTAAGCATTCTTCTGTAAAACCACATCTCCGAGGCCTCCAGAAATTGTTTGTCCTGCCTACCGATTGTCCAGGATTCACAGTCATATGTTAAAACTGGATGTATGTAGCAAGCAAGAATTCTTTTTCTAACTCTAAATGACAAGGATATATTGCACAAGATGACCACATTATGACCATGTGCCTTAATATCACCACTACGCTGAGTGTACCGGTGAGAAACTGTGAAAAAGACCTTTAAGACACAGGACGTTTCGATTCTTCGACAGATATTATAAGAACTTTTAAACACCAGAGTAACTTGGAGGTATGGCTGGGCAGTGGTTACACACTTGCCTGCTGGCCTGAAGGTCTTGGGTTTAAAACTGCACTGAGGTGGATTTGTTTAAAACTGACTTTGGCTTTAGACTACCTAGCCCAAAATCGGGTACCAGGCAATGTTCTGGAAGAAGAGGCGGCCAGTGTGATGTTGACTATACCACCCATTGACTATCAATTGATCTATAAACAATATGATGCTAGAATCACACGCTTGATGTGCCACTAGCATAAAAAAGGATAATTTACTATTTACTTTTACCAGTTAAACTAACATCAACTGTCGTGAAGATGGCTCAGAAAAGAAGAATATTACACACCACTGGTTAAGACCCAGTCTGTTATTTTTTATTGGGGAGGGGGAGGGGGGCGCTGTCAAGGATCACCATACTTTTTTACAGTCACATTTTTTCATACAAAAGTAAATCTATATTCAGTCAATCAATATGTCCTTTACAGAATGTCACTCTCTTCACTGCACTCCTGAAAGTTTCTTTCTCTAGCCAATACTCGAGCCCTGTGTGCTTTTGTAGTCAATTCATCTTCAGTGCCCTGCAGCCACCGTGATGGACGTTGGCCTATGCCTCATTTATGTAAAAATTACACCCCCCATCACCGTTCTCTCCAGACAACCATGGCTCTTGACATGTCCAAAATACCTCAGCTTTCAGGAGACGATGCTGTTTACCAGGCCAGTTCTCTTTAATTGTCAGGTCATGCAGGATATCCATGTTTTCTTCTTCTTGATCCACAGTATTCTAAGAATCTTTCTGTAGCATCTGAGTTTGAAAGCTCAGATTTTCTTCTTCAAGGACTGCGTGACTCACATTCATTATTTTTATCATTACTTTAATCAATATTTGTTTTGCTAGGGTCTTTGGCAACTCTTGTGAAAGGGTAATTCGACTCACAAAAGGGTCACGGCCCATAGGTTGAGAACCGCTGTTCTAGACCTATATTTTATAGACCAATCAGCACTCACTGCAGATGCAGTCAACATCACGCCAGCTGTCTTTACTTTCCAGGACTATACCTGGTACCCACTCAAGGCTGGGTCGACGTGGGAACCAAGGTAATTTTTTCTTTAAGTATGGCTGCATCAGGACCTGAACTCATGAATAATGTTTTATGTTACATTAATTTCCAGAATGCACTTACATCATCAACATAATGTACGACAACCTCTGACCTCGTACCTGGTCTGCAGAGGCAAAACAAAACATAATATTTAAAGTAGGTATTAAACAATGGAAGGTGTCGAACAAACACCGAAGAACACAGTAAAACAATAACTGCCTTTAAGAAAGAAACAAAAGGACATCTCAAGTGATATGCATGTACGGGTGGTTATAAAAAGAATTCTTGCACGCTGCATGGAACAAGTTTCAACGCACCCTGTGAATCCCAGAAATCAGGAACCAAATAATAAATACTAAAAATTGTTTGCATAGCTTAAATAATTAATCTAAATGTCTTGAAAAAGGGTAAAACACATTACAACTTATGACAAACATCAGAAAGTTGCTAATCTCATCATCCCCTTGTGGGATGGAATTTTTAGCTATTTTAAAGCCCCACCCTGGCTTTTGCCAGGGGCCCTAAATATAGCAGGGCCTGAAATATGGCCAAATGGCTGAACAGGGTTTCCTGGACCTCTCCACAGCTGATCCTCATCCCCATGGTGGCACTTTGTGTCACCGGGTGTTCATCGCTTGTGTGATGTCTTGGTGGGGTACAACTTACATACATACATACATACATCAGAAAGAGGCAATCACCATCTTTTTGGCCACATTATGAGAAGAGTAAAACTGAACCATGTGACAAATGCACAATTTCGAGAAATACAAATAAAGGAAGACAGCAACAGAATGCATGTGTGTCTAAATATAAACATTGTATTTTCAAACTGTCAGTAACTACTGTATCTGCCCCCAAAAATGGCTGCCATTTCTGCCTGTATTTACCACTTTTGCAGTGCAAGCATGGGTTCCTGAGCCTAAGGAATTTAAGGCTGCATGACTAGTGCTGTCGCCACGGAATGTGCAGGTTGAGGTTATATTTTTGGCAACTGTGTAATTATACAGAGCCATCATGGTGTATCGGCTAGATGCTTGCCTGTGGATTGGAAGGTCATGGGTTCAGGTCCCGATGGAAACGAGCTTTCTTAAAAAATGACCTTGGCTCTGGGGTCAACCCAGACTTAAGTTGGTACCAGGTGCAGTCTTGGGAAGTAAAGGCGGCTGGCATGATGTTGACCACATCACCCACCAAGTGCTGATTGTCTATAAAAATATAAGTCTAGCCTTGTATGCCCAATATGCATGAAGGCGTGGAAAAGGGTCCTTTAGCTTTACTTTTTATATAATTTTATATGCAATAATACAAAATTATAACCAGAACAAGATGAAACAAAATGTTTTCCTAATGTAACAGGCATCAATTATAATACCATCATAAATGTTCAGAAATATCAGCCTCAAATAACAACACTATTAAAGAGTTTAGTACGAGTATCTTCAACATAAGGCTTAGTTAATTGCTCAAGGTGTGATGGTTAATAAAATAAATATCTGGAACATTACAGTGTTAACTCATCTGCTATTATAAAGATACCAAAAAGAGCTGTGAGTAAGATAAGGGAGAGATAAGTAAAATCAGTGTTCTTGCAGTACCTTCCTAGACCAGAAGAATCTTCATTTTCTCCATCAAACTCCATAAGGGGACGTAATCGGCTATGGACTCTAATGTTGCCTCTCAGTTCCTGGAAATTAAAAATGTGTTTTAATAAAAGCAACAGTTCAGACTTATACGAGTTTGCAGAATATAGCATATTTTCATTCAGTTTTTAACCCAGTTACCTCAGAGTATTGGTTTATCAATTTATCTGTAAAATCTCATGTCTTTCTGTTCTATATAAACAGCAGTCTCTGTAGTGATGCTTAATATAAGATTAATGTAAAGGGTTTGATTAGTTGTAAGAATTAGGGAAATCCCTAGGTTGTAAGACATTACATCAGCATGAGAGAGTGAAAACACAGGATTGTGTGAGTTGACTTGGGAACATGGGATAAATGGGAGAATTGCTGAATAAGGAGTGATTCTGTGAGAGGGCCCCAGAGCTAGAAGGAGTGACAGTTGATTGTCCTGCATCAAAAACTAAACTATGTCAAAAGAAGGCTGACAGAAAGACAATACTGATGTGACCTGCAGAGTGCTAATTGTCTGCATGTCAACAATGAATGTTCAAGGCTTGGCTGTATGATTCAAAGTGTGAACACGTGGAACCTGGATTAATGAGGTAAGTGCTATGCTGTAGATTGTTGCTAGACTGTTAGACTGGTGGACTGATTCTTGAAGCTCATGTGTTATGCCAGTAAACGTGACACTGTTTTCAGCTGGTGTCAGATGTGTTGTGGAGAAGTGTGGCAGTGAATTGGGAAGAAGATCTGTATCATCTGCTCTGTGAAATCTAGACAATGAACAGTCTCTTAGTAGTACCAGTCAGATCCAATACAAAGAGACACATTAGTCTCCTTTCCTCTTTTTTCGCATTCACCAGCTATAAACTCCAGCAGAAATGTCTGATTGTTCATCTACTTCTGTCCTTTAGTCTTGTACCATAACCTGAGTTTTTGTGTGCACATCTGTTTCACAGATCTGGCCTATTTGTTTGCAGACTGTTGGTTCCTCACCTTTCAGGCAGATTGAAACAGCCTGAAGGAAAGATCCCTAATTAGTTGACTCTTACGACGTGCTTGTTAGAGGACAGTGGGTCTATACTTTTTCTTCCATAATGCAGCCCCAGAACCCACACGGGGAAGAGGCAGCAGGAATTATTAGGATCATCATCACAGCACTCGGACAGTGCTCTGATCTCTTCCTCAGTAGCTCTACAAGCAAACAACATCTAATCCAACCTACTCTATGCTGATTAATTAAATGTCTAGTTCCCTTAGGCAAAACGCTCACTGCTGGTAGCCCAGGTTGCACACCAATGCACACCAGCCCGGATGAGGACACACAGTCATGTCATTAGCTAAACTTTTTTTCAGGATAAGCACCATGCAAGGCTGTGATGCCATCACTTCTGTCCAGTCCAGAACCAGTCATTGAAACTGCAGTGTACACCAAAGGGTATAATCTGCCAGCTCACTGCCCTTGTACACCTCCATGATCCAGCACAAAGAAAAGGTACAACCCGCCATTCATGATGTGTTTGGTGAGACAATACATTCATGTCTGATAATACCAGACTGGATTTTCTTGAGCAGTTTCCTTAAGTCATTCATTATGCCTCCATGTTTAAACTCCTGAACACTCACCTACACAAATGCCTCTCTATTACAAGGCTGCTTGTTGTAACAGCACAGACATCACAGGCACCAGTTTATCAATGTTTGCATGAACGAAAACCTGAAAATTAACATAAGAGAAGAAAGAAAAATATTTGCAGACAATTATTGAAACCACCAACCATGAGTATATTATGCAGCTCCTGGCGCCGTCTCTTTTCTTTGGCATGTCTTTCTGAAACATCATGTAGAGCCTGCTGAAGCTGAACCAGCTGATCCTGTAAAGCTAACAACAACAAAAAACAAAAACATTAGATTAAAAACACACAGACAAAATATAACTAGATAACTCAGTTAAAAAAGGACATTCATATTAGATTAAACAGAGTCATTAGTGATCAGTTGAGAATCTAACTTCACTGAGGTTAGGTCAACCCACAACTACAGCATGCCTGTACTGATGGGAAAATCCACAAAATGTCACTCACTGACCCATTTGGAAACTAGTGAGAAACATATCAGTTACAACAAAATCTTGAAGCTCTCACATACAAAAATAAATCCATAAGGCAGCCATCAGATGTGCTAACGCTAACAGTCTCCTAACAGAATTGCATCTCACTGTTAATGCATGCAGTTAATCATGAAAGCTTTTATTCTTATTCTCTTATTGCCTCAGCCTCTCTCTCTGAATATATCTCTGTGTCAGTCTCACTCTCTCTGTATCTGTCTGTCTGCTCCCCTCCCCCCCCCCTTTTCCTCTTGTAGGTGTGTGTCTGTATGTGGCTGCATGTGTGTCTTTGGGTGAGTTTATATGTGTCTATGAGTGTGTGTCTGTGTATGGCTGTGCTCTGTGTGTGTGTCTTTGCGTGCGTGTGTCTTTGCCTCTGTGTGTGTGTGTCAGTGAGAGCTTGACTGTGTGTGTTTATGACTGTGTGTGCATTTATGACTGTGCATGTGTCTGTGTGTAACTGTATTTTGCTGTGTGTGTTTGTGTTTGAATGTCTGTGTGTGGTGTGTCCGTGTGTGTATGTTTGTGTACGTGTATGTATTTGTGGTGTGTGAATGTGTGTGTATGTGTGTGTATGTGTGCATATGTGTGTGTATGTATGTGTATATGTATGTATATATGCATGTATGTATGTATGTATGTATGTATGCATGCATGCATGCATGCATGCATGTATGTATGTATGTATGTATGTATGTATGTATGTATGTATGTATGTATGTATGTATGTATGTATGTATGTATGTATGTATGTATGTATGTATGTATGTATGTATGTATGTATGTATGTATGTATGTATGTATGTATGTATGTATGTATGTATGTATGTATGTATGTATGTATGTATGTAATGTCTGTAATGTAATGTCTGTAATGTCTGTCTGTAATGTCTGTCTGTAATGTCTGTAATGTCTGTAATGTCTGTAATGTCTGTCTGTAATGTCTGTCTGTAACGTCTGTAACGTCCGTAAGGTCCGTAACGTCCGTAACGTCTGTCACGTCTGTAACGTCTGTAACGTCTCTCTCTCTCTCTCTTTCTCTCTCTCTCTCTCTCTCTTTCTCTGTGTGTGTTTGTGTGTGCGTGCGTGCGTGTGTGTGTGTGTGTGTACATACATTTGTATGTATTTTGGATGTATCTGGATGTGTATGTATATTTGTATGTGGGTATATATGTGTGTGTGTAAGTGAGTGGGTGGGTTAGTGGATATGTGTGTGTGTGTGTGTGCACACGAGTGTGCGCATGTATTTTACCACCCATGCTTTTGTGTTTTTGCTTGGTATTCATAATATGCATATAATTGTATGAACATAGCATGCTTTATTGATAAATATTGATAATACAACTTCTGTTTGAAAGATGAGTGTTTGGAAGGGCCAAATGTAAGACAGGCCTGAGTGCCCAATATGTGACCCTTTGAACATAAAGTATGTTTGTTCATTTGTTTGTTTTTTCTCTCTCTCTCTCTCTCTGTCTGTCTTTGTCTCACTCACTCTCTCTCTCTCTGCTTTCCATTCTCTCTCTCACCATCCATCTTGTCTCCCCCCCCCCCCCTCTTCTCTTCATCTCCTTGGAGCTTTGTGTAAAATATGAAATCAAATGCCTACCTGTGACAATGGAGGAATGGGAATGATAAGATGCCCTGTTGCTGTGAACAGCTGCTTTGGCTCTCTGCAGATACAGCTGAAAACTCACTGACATTTCTATAACAAATGCCTTTAATCTGTCCAGCTCTAGCCTTAGTGCCTGTAAATAATGTTAGAGTAGAATATCAGAAACTATCAGGGACACAGAGATCATTCTTTTTTTTTCTTCTTTTTCTTCTTCGCGTTCAACTCAAAGTTCTGGTTGTAGATTCATTTCTGGACTGCAGTCCTGTTCCAGAACCTGAGTGTTGCTTGTGCATCCATTTTACAGATCTGACTCATTTGTATGCAGACTGCTGGTTCCTTGCCTCTCAGGCAGATGCACTCCGACTTTGAAGGAAGCTCCCAGCTAGTTGACTCTTACAACATGCTTTTGGGTAAGCAGTGGGTCTTCTCTTATTTTCCCTATATTAGGGCCCCAGAACCCACACGGGGGAACAGAGATCATGATAACTGGCTGTACCTAGTAATATCTGTAACAATCCAACTGTCCTGTACAGACTAGAAATGAAAAAAGAATTGCTGAAAGAAAAAAAAACAGAGAAAGCCAAATATTTTTACCCTAGCAAAAAGACTTATTTGTAACTTATTGGTCCAGTCCTGAACTAATCATAGCAACTGCAGTATCCACCAGATAATCTACAAGCTCACTGCCTTGAATACTTGCGTGAACCACCACAAAGAAAAAGGTTCAACTAGCTATTCATGATGTGTTTAGTGAGACAATGCATTCTTGTCTGAAACTGCTGACATGGATTTTTAACTGCTCAACTCAGAGAGCGTACAAACAGCCACTGCGGCCAACTATTATTGTGAAAAAGGCATCTGTTTGACTGATTGCTCAATCTTAGGTCTCTTTGCAACTAAAGTAGTGGTCTCAATTAGATAAGATCCATGCTCCTCTCTTTTTTGTTTTCTTCTTTTTTTTAAAGGTCTTCATACTTTTTGAGACCGTTTAAAAAAATAAAGAGTAAATCTTTTTAGAACTATAACAAAAAACAAACAAACAAAAAGAGTTGGTCGTTGTTGTTGTTGTAAATGATATCACAAACCCCTTAATTGTTTTCAAGCATATTACATAATTTTGTTTAAATTTTTTTGTAAACAATGCCTAAATATCTATTTTACTAACATCACAAACCTTTGTATCCTGATGTATAACCACAGTTTTCTGTACTACTTCCTCTTTAAACTGCTCACTATCTTCCAGTTCAGCAGATGACAGCATGGCTTCCTGTCGAGCAGATCGGACATCACCCCTCAGTTGTGCCAACTTTAGGTACAACATGGCATTTTCTGTTTCCAGTGACACGATGCGCTCATTCTTTCTCTGTTGTAATTTTGACAAACAAAATATTTCTTTGTTAACAGTGACTATAGTTGCTGGATCATCTTACATTATAACAAGCTTTTTTTAATGGTGGTACACGATACACAGTACTGGCACCCTTTTAAAGGCATTTTTTAGGGCTGCTGTAAAAGGCCTTTGCTGTGAGTACTGCCACCTTTTAACAAACACATTATTGAGTACCAGCTCTCCCCCCCCCCTCCCCCCAAAAGCTTGATTATAATGTTTTAATAGTAATTTTCACTCAGATGTGAAAATCTACGCTTAGAATTAGCCAACTGGCTTTGTTGAGATACCTTTGTGTTGTCATTTTGTACTTGGTTCAGTCTTTCTAGCTGGGTTTTGCTGACAGTGAGGAAGGTAAGATCATAATCAATGACGCTAAGCACAAGCCATTGATAGAGATGGAAAAGTATGCGTTGTTTAATATCAGCTGCTGCTAGCACCTTGAGTGCTGTCAAACCTTTCCTGGCTCTAAGTATGACGTTGTCTACGTGGAATTTGTATGACAAGCATCTGTCAAATGTCATGCCCAGTTATTCATGGTGTCCGTTCTCTCGATGTCCACACCACAGATGCTTACGACTGGCGTTGGTGTACTAACGATGTGGGTATTCAGAGAGAACCATGTTAAGGAGGCTTTGGACGAGTTTACCTGAGCTCTTGATTCCTGGCACCACTCACTAAGTCTGTCTAGTTCGTGTTGTAGTGTGGTTGTAATTTCCTGCCTGTTTTTACCTCGTGTGTGTGTCTGTGTGTATGTCTGTGTGTGTGTCTGTGAGTGTGTGTGTGTGTGTGAATGTCTGTATGTTGTGTGTGTGTGTGTCCATGTGTGTCTGTTTGTATGTATGTGTGTGTATTTGTGGTGTGTGAATGTATGTGTGTGCGTGCATGTGTTTGTGTGGATAGAGAATCATCAAACAGGCACTGTAATGTCAAACAAATGGACAGAGGAATCAAGAAGCCTAAGAGAAAGACACACAATAATGAGAGAGACCAAAGGTGATGGACTTTATTGCATTCATGAGGTCAAAAAGACTGTGCAGGTTAGAACTGAATGGAGGATTAGACACTGAGCCCTATGTGACATATAGCAGCAAATCAGAAAATGTGATTTGTGGACTATCATCAGAGCACTCCAGACAGACCCACAGGTGTTCCGAATTACCCTTATTAGCTATATAAGCATAAAACAACTGACAATGCCTGTTCTCTATAAGCAGCATGGTGATAATATGATGATTGTGGTCCAACCATAAAGGTTTTTATAAGTTGAAACTACAATAGATAAAACCATACACAAACCAGCAGAAGGTAAGGTGAAACTACTGCCGTATTCCCTAGTAAAGTATGCCTTGAAACCAGTGGTCTCCAACCTTTTTTAGGTGGCAGCCTCCTCCCCCCCCCCCCCCCCTCACCCCCACCAACACCTGTACGTATATGGCGAGATGACCACCACCCCCTCCCCAAACCCCTTTGGGTATATTGCAAGACAAACCCCCCCCCCCCCCCACTTCCTAACACCTTTGGGTATATGGCAGGACAACAAATCTCCCCCCTCCCCACACCTTTGAGTATATTTCAAGACGACCACCCCCTCCCTTCCCAACACCTCTAGGTATATGGCAAGACGACCAACCCCCCCCCCCCCCCCTTTCCCAGTACCTTAAGGTATAGGGCAAGATGACCACCCCCCCCCCCCCCCCATCCCTTCCCAACACCTTTGGGTATTGGCAAGACAACAAATACCCCCCCCCCCCCCCACGCCTTTGGGTATATGGCAAAACGACCCCCCCCCCCTCAACTCCTTTGGGTATATGGCAAGATGAAGTACCTAAACCCTTCATGTGTAAATGCGTTTGGTCAACTTTAGCTTACACAAATCACAAATATTTAATTTGTTCTTAAAGTATACTGACACCTGTGTGTAAATGGATACTCAGGGAAAGCAATGATTAGTAACACTGCACCCAACCAAGCATGTCATAAGAGGCAGCTATCAGTAGGGTTGAGTCATGGAGTTGGCTACCCTATCCTGTAAAAAGCATCGGCTATCCTCCAAATAACAGGCACAAAAGATGGTGGCCGCAAAAACACCCTAACAAAGCCTCAGTCATGTGTCGCGCACTTCCTGCGACTTAATTTGCGGTTTTCCAGGAACTACCGCCACCGACGAGAGTATCCCCCAGGCCGCGTGGATTGGGGCTAAACTAGACCGCTGGGACTCACAAACAGCAGCTTTCGCATCTTCTGCAGCTTCATTTCGCTGCGTGAGCAGCGTGAATGATACTCTCGGCGGTGGCGGTAGTCACCGGAAAAATGCAAATTAAGTAGCCGGAAGTGCGCAATTGACACGTGACTGAGGCTCTGTTAGGGTGTTTTTGCGGCCGCCATCTTTTGTGCCCGTTATTCGGAGGATAGCCAAAGCTTCATACCAACAAGGGCTCTCCTCCGAACTTCTACCCCCGCAGAATTGCAGCCTGAAATATCCGTTCGGGGCGCAGTCAATTTAAAAATACGGACTTGTCGGACTTCCTGCCGAGGAACAAATTGCGGCAAAACTATTAGTACCATATAATGTCACGAGACGCAACATTGCAGACGATAGTAGCAGACGATAAAAGCGACCAGTGACAATGTCGAGACATTACAGATGATGAAAGCGATATGGCAGGTAGACCACGCGCTCCTACGCAGATTAGCAATACTGTTCTTCCGATTGAGGATTTAGCAGCGGTAGATGTCAGACTTGTCGACACCGCAAAACGCGATTAAACTCACCGCCGAGCAGATGGGGGCTAAACTAGGTGCCTGGGACTCATGAGCAAAGTAGAGGAAGTTGCAGGAGATGCGGTAGCTGCCGCTCGTGAGTCCCAGCCATCTAGTTTTGCCCCTATCCGCGCCGCACGTAGCGGAGCGGGGGATACGGTCGGCGGTGAGGCATAGTCACTGAAACAGGTCCGCAAGTAACATATCGCTGAGAACCTGTTTCGTTTTTCTGAGCCGATCCTAGATTTGCCGTGATTTGTTCGTCGGCAGAAAGTTCGACAATGGAAAGTGTCAACGGTCGCTAGTATCGTCGTCTGCTACTATCGTCTGCAGTGTTGCATCTCTTAGAATTATCAGGTAATCAGAAACAATAAGAAACAGGTCCGCAAGTAACATATCGCTGAGACCCTGTTAGATCATTTGTTTCGTTATATGGAGCTGGCATATTTTTAATTGGACTGCGCCCCAAACGGATATTTCAGGCCGCAATACTGCGGGGGCAGAAGTTCGGAGGAGAGCCCCAACAAGAATTCATGTAATATTCCTGCTTTTTTTTCCCTTATTCACTAAGACTGCAGGCTGTTGTTGTCATTACCAGCCCTGATAATTACAACTTTTCTGGAGGTTGAGCAGGGTATCTGATCTGGAACTTGCCCAGTTTTAGGTGGTTAGGCTCTGAAGAACTGCAGCACCCGCTATTGTCAATCCATGTTTTAGTTTAGCCCTGAGCCGCCACTGTTCTGCTGGTTAGCCATCCGGGGTGAGATTCTTGAATAACGAAATTTTCAGAAGTAGGTTAAACTCTCTAGTACTAGCCTGGAGGGTGAACAGTGAAGCACTTGCGTCCCCCTAGAGCCTAGATCGCCGCTCGATATTAAAAATATTATTATGAATAATGTCAACAAACCTGTAGTTGCACCTCCAATTCCTTAGATTTATTTGCATAAAACTTAGATGTATCCATTCCTAGTGGCATTTTACTGGTATTTTCTTGTCTTCGTCTTCCTTTCCCTGCTGTACTACTAACTGTTAATAATTTATACAAGTCAATTCAAAATTATTGTTTACACTTGTCAGCCATGTTTAGCAACGAGGGAGATAACTCACTACACTGTACAGCGCAGTAAACTATCAGCATGATGTGCCCTGTCAAAAGTGGTTATTTTTTTGCCACTTGATACGATTATAAGAATCACGAATAATGTTAATAGGCGTGTCTCACGCCTAGAATTTATTTCAGGTTCAGTGAAGTATTTTTTCAAAAATAGCCCCTTTAACCCTCAGAGTTGTAATTGGGATATTTAGTGTTAATTCAGTTTTGAGAATATATTTTCACAGTAGTAGTAAAAAAAAGTAATTTTTCAAAAATATCCTCTTAAACCCTCAGAGTTGTATTTGGGGTATATAGTGTTAATTCAGTTGTGAGCATATATTCGTCATTTTATATTTATATATTATGTAATTATTTATATGACTAATATGTAACATGGCAAGTTGTGTGTCACCGACTGTTTACGAAGCGAGATGCCTAGAGCTGCGCGTGTACCCTGTGTGAAAAATCGACCTTTTTCACGCCTTCAATAGTACTTAGCAAATGAGGCTAGTCCTATATTTAATAGTCCAATGTGCACTGAGTGGGTGATGTAGCCATGTCATGCCAGCAGCCTTTACTTCCCATGACTGTACCTGGTGCTCACTCAAGACTGGGTCGACCTGATAGCTAAGGTAGTGTTTGAAGAAAAAAAAGATACGCCCGGCTTCGCCAGGACCCGAACCCACGACCTTCCGATCCGCAGGCGAGCGTCTAGCCTCTACTGGCACTGGTTGGGTGATATGGTCAGTGTAGTGGCGATAAATACTCTTTGGGTCATAGGAAACTTGATCTTTTCATCATGGAACTGCAAAGTTTGGGTCGCCAGCGACCTCCTCTACACGGATCATGTGGATGGTGTGGGCCCTGACTGTGCGTCTGGCTTCTATATCATAATAGCACTGTGTGCCAGCCGTACCAGCAGTCTATTCTCGGTCCTCGCGGTACGTGTTGTGTGTGTCCCTTTAAGAGTTGTGGCACAGCCAGATGCCAAATGTGTTTATTTTCAGTTTTTTTTTTCTTTTAAATCAAATAGTCTACTACTGCTGACAATCTCTTCAGTTTCTTACTTCAGATTCAATAGCCAAATGTAGGAATACCACAACCTACTCTAGGCCTTGTCATTTGTGAAAATTATAATCTGCTACAAAGCCGAAGTTCTTCTTTACTGTTCTTCGCTTTGCTCTTTTCGTTTCAACCCTGCCAATCGTCACCAAGCAGCATTCCGTCTCATTTAAAATAAAAAATAAAAAGTTTCTGCATTTATTACCATTCTTTAACAATGTGGCTTACGGTCGTAATTGTGTGTGTGTGTGTGTGTGTGTGTGTGTGTGTGTGTGTGTGTGTGTGTGTGTGTGTGTGTGTGTGTGTGTGTGTGTGTGTGTGTGTGTGTGTGTGTGTGTGTGTGTGTGTGTGTGTGTGTGTGTGTGTGTGTGTGTGTGTGTGTGTGTGTGTGTGTGTGTGTGTGTCTGTGTGTGTCTGTGTGTGTGTGTGTGTGTGTGTGTGTGTGTGTGTGTGTGTGTGTGTGTGTGTGTGTGTGTGTGTGTGTGTGTGTGTGTGTGTGTGTGTGTGTGTGTGTGTGTGTGTGTGTGTGTGTGTGTGTGTGTGTGTGGCGAGATGACCACCACCCCCTCCCCAAACCCCTTTGGGTATATTGCAAGACAAACCCCCCCCCCCCCCACTTCCTAACACCTTTGGGTATATGGCAGGACAACAAATCTCCCCCCTCCCCACACCTTTGAGTATATTTCAAGACGACCACCCCCTCCCTTCCCAACACCTCTAGGTATATGGCAAGACGACCAACCCCCCCCCCCCCCCTTTTCCCAGTACTTTAAGGTATAGGGCAAGATGACCACCCCCCCCCCCCATCCCTTCCCAACACCTTTGGGTATTGGCAAGATGACCACACCCCTCCCAACACCTTTGGGTATATGGCAAGACAACAAATATCCCCCCCCACGCCTTTGGGTATATGGCAAAACGACCCCCCCCCCCCTTCAACTCCTTTGGGTATATGGCAAGATGAAGTACCTAAACCCTTCATGTGTAAATGTGTTTGGTGTGTGCGTGCGTGCGTGCGTGCGTGCGTGCGTGCGTGCGTGCGTGCGTGCGTGCGTGCGTGCGTGCGTGTGTGCGTGCGTGCGTGCGTGCGTGCGTGCGTGTGTGCGTGTGTGCGTGTGTGCGTGTGTGCGTGTGTGCGTGTGTGCGTGTGTGTGTGTGTGTGTGTGTGTGTGTGTGTGTGTGTGTGTGTGTGTGTGTGTGTGTGTGTGTGTGTGTGTGTGTGTGTGTGTGTGTGTGCGTGCGTGCGTGCGTGCGTGCGTGCGTGCGTGTGTGTGTGTGTGTGTGTGTGTGTGTGTGTGTGTGTGTGTGTGTGTGTGTGTGTGGGGGGTGTCTTTCGATTAAGCATTACATTGTCTCCAGCAATACTACTACTCCTTAGTTTGGTCGTATCTCAGGAAAAAATACGCCGATACCACCCCCCCCCCCTCCCCCCCTTTTCCACCAACCCCTTTTTTAATTCCTCTGGGACACTACCCTTAGTACTCAACTGATATAAATATCATTATTATATCCCTTTGATCAAACGCATGAGCAATCACGTCAGGTTTGGACTGAAACTTTTGGCTTCCCCCCCTCCCCCTTTTCCATTGTTGACTGTAGAAGTTGTTTCCTTAAACTATAATAACGAATTTTGCAAAGAATCGCATCCTCAATAAACATTTACCATATGTAAAAGGGAGGAAGAGAGAGAGACCAACAGACAGGCAGGCAGGTATAGACCAACAGGCAGGCAGGTATAGACCAACAGGCAGGCCGGCAGACAGACGAAGGGCAAGCATACAGACATGGAGACAGAGCAGCAAAGGAAATTTCTAGACAACAAACAGGCTCAAAGAATCCATCCCTTGATGCTTCTTGTTCTGCTGCTTTGAGTTCTGCTGTTTTGCTTTTCAAGTTTTACTGTTTTCATTTGTGCTTTTAAAAAAAAAATTCTTTAGTTCTGTTTATTTTGTTTCTTCTGTTTTGCTTTAGTTCTGATGTTCTTAGTTTTGCTGCTTTTATCTGTACTAAGGAATCCCAGTGTAATGTAACTAAAAAGCTCAAGGAAACGGGGAAGCAGAAAAACGTACACGAAAGAATGTTTCGGCCGGTGGCCTTTCTCGAACAAGTAATGAACTACACAACGGTAACGAAGATGATATGTTTTTATTTTTACTGTTTTGCTTTTAGTTACGATGATTTTAGTTCGGCTGCTTTCTTTCAGTTCTACTGCCTCGTGTTCTGAAAAAAGGGGAAGGGTGACATGTACTGATGTTGCGCCAGAACCTGGCGCCCTTTTTTAAGAGGAGGGTGAGGCGCCCTAGAAAACTTGCAAGATGGGGCTAAATTCCTTCCCCCTATCCATTTGGGACGTTCTCTTTTAAGTATTTGTTTATACATTTTATATTATTTCAAATATAGTGTTATATTTATTTCCTATTCAGCACATAATTTATATTGTTATTATTAAGTACTTGAACAGTGCTTGCACACCCCTACATAAGTCCAACCCCGACACTAGACAGTAATGAGGGAGACTTAGCATATGATGCTAGACACATATTTAGCAGTTGACAGTCGATGGCAGTTGTGGTTAACATCGCACTGCCTGCCTAATTTCTAGAATTTTATCAGGGACCCATTTTAGGTTGAGTCGACCTGGGAACTAAGGTCCATTTTTCCCCCATCCACGGATTCAAACCCAATACCTTCAATTAGCAGTAATGCAAATAAAGTCTTCTTCTTCTACTTGTACGTTTACCATTTAAAAGGCGGTTGGTATGTGATGTTGTTGTTTACATCTGGTTGGTGATATCTTTATCTTTCGGCTAAAGACATCCGTTTCACAAAACCCATAATTAGTTGCCTTTCACCCGATGTTTGTAAGGCGAAAGTGGGTTGGTGCAGTTTTCCTTTCAAAATGCTGCTCGGACCCAACAAGGGAAACAAACAAACATGTTCAAACACGAAAAAGAAGCAATTTGTGAAAATTTATTTTATTATTAGCAATATTATCAACTCTCCTATCGCAGGGGAGTATGGGTAAGTAAATGATTTAAATATAAAAATTGAGTAAGTATCACTAGAGTACATTCACAGCATATGAGCATGAATTTTTAATTCCTTCCCCCCGTAAATGTTGTTATGTTTCAAAACTAATACAAACAGTTGAACAGGGAATATACGCATTGTTCCTATAGGCTTGGCATCCGAAAAGTGGCTTGCATGAGTCATTAGGTTTCCTACCTGCAGGTTGTTGTAATTTTTGGGAAATAGCAAAAGAAGAGCTTTTGTGGCAAAGACGTCTGGTATCCTTCTCAAACTCGAGCAAATGCGGTTTGATTCTACTTGGTAAAAATTACGCCCCCTCCCCCCCCCCCCACCCCACCACAAGGAAAGAGAAAGATAAACTCTCCCGGGTCATGTGGTAGTGGACACGACCTATGGCCTTTTCAGATTATGAATAATTTCCGGCTCTCTAGCGAAGTTGGTTAAACCTGACTTTCGCGGCGGCCGGGTGACGAACTCCTTGTGGTCCGGGTTCACTCCCGGGGGTAGGCAGAAAAGCCACATTTCTCCCAGATTAACGGTACCTATAATGGAATCAATGCCGAAGGGTTGCGATATCCATAGTTCCGAGCCAAAGGGTTTACAACTCATGGTTTCTGGATACGTTAAAAAAAAAAAAAAATGAATAATTTTAAAAAAAGGCTTACATTCTCTGCGCAGGCAAACTGCAGATGGACAGCAGATGGAAATAGGAGACGGATCAGCTACCGAAACATGGAGGAGAACAGCAGAATGGCCAATAAAATGACATAGATACAATGGACTAAAAGCAA